CTCTCTCTCCAAGTTTGCCTTCTTGCTTGCTGGGACTCTGCTGCCGACCTCAGAGCTGTTGGCACCAAGTTTCCACCGGCTGTTTCCCCTCAACAGTTTTATTGGCGTATAATTCTCACGTCACACAATTCCATAGTTGGATGACATCAAGAAGAGCTATGCAGTCATCACCACCATCGGGCGTCGAACATTTTCTTCATTCTTATACTCATCATGATTGGCTCCTCAATTGTCCCCCAGCCTCTCTAGTGACTGGTTCTATCCTGGGTTTCGTAAGCAGAAGAAGATTGAAAACAACCACCACGACAAAACTAACCAATAGCAAAGTGAAACAGATGATAAACCCTTCACTGCAGCCAATATAAAAAACTAGAACAAATTTAAGTAGAGCTTAAAGGAGAACAAAGGATGGGGTGCTACCCTAACCGCATCTGCAACCACCCATGTCCGGTGCCTTCTGCACGCTAACAAGGCGACTCCCACCCCTGGTCCGTGGTCAGAGGGGATTCACCAGGGGCTTCATCCGAGTGCATTGCCCCATTCTACTCCACCGGCTTTGGATCCTCATGACTCCACCCCCTGGCCTGTGATCGTCTTGCTTCCTGATTCACCCTTCTGCGTCACTAGCATGCGGCCACTGGTCTCAAGAGAGACTTCTAGACTAGCATGGGACTTAGCACTTGAGTTGGACTGGACTGAGATGCCTTCTCTTGATGTAAAGTACTTGTTGACATAAAGCTCGTTCCTGGATTTGTTTCTCGAGGCAACCCAGCCTAACACAAAGGTTGGACGTTCAGTTTCACCCAGAGGCCCTTTGGGAGAGAGGCCTGGTGATCCACCGCAAACAAGAAAACAAAACAAACCCAGACTGGGGGTCCTCCAGGGGCACAGTGCGATGACGCTGACACACACCTGGGGTCTCTGAGTTGACACGGGCTTGGCAGCAACTGTACTGTGAACCCAGCGCTCGGTAGATGCTGGGGGTACAGCAGGGAGCCAGGCGGAACAAGCACTCCCCAACTCCCCACCCCTGTTCTGGAGGAGACAGGCAAACAAGGAAGAGTAGTGAGTCAGAAGGTGGTAAAAGCTATAACCCACTGCCATTGGGCCAATCCTGACTCACAGAGACCCGATAGGACAGGGTAGAACTGGCCCCGCAGGTTCCTCAGATGGAAAATCTTGACGGAAGCAAGCTGTCCTCATCCTTCTCCCACAGAGTGGGGGTTCAACCCCCCACCCCCCCACCTTGCGGTAGCAGTCAAATGCTTTAACTAAAGTGCCGCTCCACTGTAAGTGCCGCGGAGAACAATCCCCACTCACACGACAGCTTGTCACCCAGTGGCAGCTTGCCTAGTGCTGTGACCCTGGAACCTGTGCCGCTGATACTTTGCAAATAGCAGCAGGGTCCCCCATGGCAGATAGTGTCAGCAAAGCTTACAGGCTGAGAACAGAATAAGAAGGGGTAGGCTGCCGGCTGAGGAATTAGCCCCGGAAGACCGTATTTACAACTGTGGGACACTGTCAGACATAGTGCTGGAAGATGAGCCCCAGGTGAGAAGGCACCGGAAAG